TTTTTTTTTTTTTCTTACGCGAGGATGCTCGTGACACGGCGGTAAGCTCGTGGAACGAGACGATCCTCGAACGAGCCGGCGCGTCGAAACGAGCGAAAGTGCGCGACGAAGGGGGATAGAAAGAAGATAGAGGCCGTGTCAGCCGGCGAGAAACACCATTACGGTAATATCTCGCCGGGCGAACAAGTGATTTTTAAGGAGGCCAGCCTGCCATTTCACGGCAATTTCGTCTGCCCCGCTCTACTCTCCGTCATCCAAGAGTCTAGAGTAGCCGATGCTCTCATAACGGGAACGATTATGAAAATCCCGCGTCGTTCTCGTTTTACCAAAGGTACGGGACCCTTCCTCCGACATTCTTGACACGAATTTTCCCATCTTCTCCATCGTACGTGTACCGTACGGTATTGCGTATTTCCAACTTTATGAGAACCGGATGACGCTTGTCGTACGGAAAGGAAAGATTAATAGGGCTGTGAAGCTTGCACGAAGATACGAAGTAGACCATTCTTTTTCCTATGTCACGTATAATGGACGAAGCTCACGGAACATTCTATTTGTTATATGTTGCAGATCCATCCGCTTCAGGCTCGTCCTGCGAGGATGACGAGGATGGTCGTCGGGTGGACATCAGAAAGCGCAAGAACAGCCTGTACGCGTCTTCCTCGACTCGTGCTCCGTCGATAGACAGAGAGAGAGACTTGAACTCGACCGACGGGATTGCCGCGGTGGATTGCGTAGCCCTGGTGCATCTCGCGGATCAGTCACCCACCGAGCCTAATCAACCGGTCCGTCACCCATCGCCCTATTACTACGGTGATCTGTTCAAGGTACCGGAGCAAGTGAGCAAGTCGCAGCCGAACAGGTACAGAAAGAGCGTCAGTCTCGACGTACCGGGTGAACGTTCACGAACACCCGGTATACCAAAGAGAAACTCGGTGGCGGGTGATGGGGGTTCCTATTCGTCTCAGCAACAACAACAGCAGCAGCAGCAGCAGCAGCCACAGTCGCAACATTATCAACAGCAGCAGCCACAGCAGCAACAGCAGCTACAGCTACATCAGCAGCACCATCCGTTACAACCACAACAGCATTATCAAAGTCAGGATCTAGTGAGCCCCACGTCGGGGAGCGAGCATGCTGTCCCAGCCAGAAACGAGATCCTCTCGTCGTGCATCATCACCGAGTGGGATCACACCCTCATGCCTCCGCATCGGCTGTTGAGCCATGACCTACCGACCACCGTTTGCACTTGCGTCGCATCGGCTGAAGAAGAGGAGGATGAGCTAGATCAACGGCAGCCGCAGCTAACGCGGCACCAAGTGCGCAAGCTACGTCGTACACGGAGGATAGACCCGCAGCCGATACTCGTCGAGGACGAGGACGACGTGGAGGGAGAGGACGAGGGCGAGGAAGAGGAGGAGGAGGACGTGGAGCTGGAGGAAGACGAGGAAGAGATGGCTAGGCAACGTCACCTCTACGAGACGGCCTTCGACTGCAAGGTCAATCGCTCTGACGACGATCTCGACGACCTCGATCGGGTTACCAATCATCCCGTGCTGCATTCCCAGGTACGTTGCCGGTTCCCCCTTCACTTTCTTGTCGTCCGCGGCTTTCCTTACTTGTTTTAATGAAGAAAAAGAAAAGCAATTACGTCAAGGAAATACACAAGGAAAGAAAGAGCACAGAGCAAATATGATAGCAAAATGTAAATGTAAAAGGGACAATATTGTGTCGGTATTCTTGTGAAAGAGGACGAATTGCCGAAATTCGTTTATTATATCCTTGAAACGCATTAAGGAAAGAAAAGATAAAATAATACAGAACAAATGCAACAATGTTGGAAATGTGAATGTGAAAAGAACGATATTATATCATATCTGCGAAAGAGAATAAATCGTTTTACGCATTTTATGTTTAATTCGAGATTGCGAGTCGTTGAAAGGATCGGGATCAACGTCTTTGATATCTCACATAGATCGATTCGTGTCTGATTACAATATCTTTTCTTTTTCTTTCGAAAGTTTAGTCATATATTCTAATATTCGCGGTTGTTTACAATTATAGCCTTTTTGCGGAAACATCTGCGTTTCAAGATTCATATCCCCGAGTTGGACTGCACCGCGATATTAGGGAAGCGAGGGATCGTTGGTCTTTAATGAAAAGCAATTAAAGTCCAATATAACTCAAAATGTTACAGGATTTCGGAACACGAACTATCAATCTCCCCCTATCACGCCCAAATTGAACTTTAATTGCGGTCGGACCGTATAATTTGCTCATTAGACAAGCTAATTATATCTTCGCATTGTACAAACTAACCCTCCATATACTCGAAAGATCCGCGACAATTAATTCTCCCTATACAGAATATCGTGCCTTATGAAAAAGATTTCATTGAGAATAGAAGAAGAAGAAGGAAAAATAAACAAACAAAATACCGTTTGATAATACAGATGAGAAGCAGCAGCGCGATACCAGTAAGCAGAACGAGCTCGTCGACGGACACGTCGAAGCAACAGCAGCAACAACAGCAACAGCAGCAACAAGCCCCGTACGCTGGTCAGTCCCACAGTAGCAAAGATCGACGCAAAGTCGTACTTCTCCGCCCAAAACCAATTCCGAGCCGTCTTCAGCAACAGCAGCATCAGCAGCAACAGCAGCAATCAGACAATATTTCTACTCTGTCCCAGGACATCGAATCCCTCCAGATCAATTCCAGCGACGAGAAAACCGGGTCGCCGAGGTTACCGGCCCGGGGTTATACACCGTCGCCTCCATCCACGGCACCGTTGCCCGCTAAATTTCACGGCAATCGTGACCACTTGTTGTTGAACATACGCAGCACGCCGAATCTACCCTCGCAGCCGGACCATCCGCGCCTCAAGGATCTCCGGCTGCCGGTCAAGTCGCTGCTGAGGACGAAGGACTCGCCCCAGAGCAGCGAGGGCAGCATCCTCGAGATCAAGAGCAGACCGAAGAGCTTCGCCCAGGACAGCGTGCTGGAGTCGTCTCAGGGGCGACGTTTCGACAAGGAGCTGATCCTAGAGTTCAAGGGCAGGCCGCGGGAGGATCGGCAACGACCGCGCAGTCTGATCCGCGAGAGCAAGCCGATCATGGAGTTCAAGGGCAGGCCCCACGAGGCCGAGAGCGATCTGTTACGGCCTCGCAGGGACGTCGGCCTCTTGGAGTTCAAGTTACGGACCAGTAGACGCAGAGCGGGATACTCGAGCACGGAGAGCATGGCCACCAGCAGCAGCGGAGGCAGCATGGAGTCGTTACGGAGCAGCACCAGCGAGGGCAATAGATCGACCAGCAGTTCGGAGAGCCGTCACAGCACCAGTCTGAGCTCCCACAGCTCTGACAGCGGCAGCACCAACTGCTACCATCATCATCAGCAGCCCTCGATGGCCGGCTTCCTCACCCATCACGCGAACAAGCTGCACATACTCTCCCCGATCTCTGACAAATCGTCGCAGGAGCCCGCGTCCGAGACATCCGACAACAATCGCAACAACAACTCGCAGAAAGCCTCGCCGGAGGAGAACGTGACCACGGAGAACAACGTGACCGCGTCGAACAACACGAACACGAACACCGGCAACACGAACACGAACTCCGTTATCTCGCCGATGGACACGTCGTTCAAGAAGAGGCGCACGCCGCAGAACAAGAATCTGATCAATCTGGCGCTGCAGTCCTCGTCGTCGGGCGATGCGGAGATCCAGGGGTCGGACAGCGGCATCTCGATCGAGTCGCGGGCCGGCATCAAGTGCAAACCGTTCGGCTTCCACTTGTTGAAACCGCAGTTGGATAACATCAATCTCGTGGACAACGAGCCGGAACTCTCCGACCTGCCGTTCGACATGCCGAAGCTGAGGAGGAGGCGGCTGCTCATGCAGCAGGACGCCACCACGTCTGGCAGCGCGACCAGCGTCGATCTCAGAGACCTGCCGTTCGACATGCCGAAACTCAGACGAAGGCTACGATGCATGCAGAGCACGGAATCCAGCGGGTCTCAGGCTTCCTCCAGCCTGTCGATGCGAGACGTCGAGCCGCCCGCGTTGTTCGGTGAGTCTCACTTTTTCTCCTTCTTTCTTCGATGAAAGCTTTCATCGTGTAGGTAAAATTCAACAGAAATCAATTTGATGACGAAGCAACTTTTCGGCAACGAACAATGAAATGAAAATTGCCGATCCTTTTTTCCACATCAGCTTGATTCAGAAGGTTTATCATTTCTATCGACGCATCGACCAAAAGTGGATATTTTTTTATTTCATCTGACACATCCAGAATGAAATTGCAAGCCACTTTGCATTCAATTTGAGAGTGTTCTGATTATTGAAATCTGTCATAGAAAGATCATGAAACCGAGTAAAAATTCGAGCCGTGTTTGACATCGCAAACCAAGCTTGTCGCTGAAAACAAATTCCATCGAACTTGTTCAAGTAACGCGAGTGGAACGTCATAAAGATGTTTCGTCATATATATCGTCACAACAATGTGACACTGATAAGTTTTTGATGAATTTCGAAAGACGATGATGTATTGTTTCTTTTTTTTTTTTTTAATTGAACAATTAAGTATACTAACTACATCACGAGTTCGACAGTTACCTAATAGTTACGTGACTCGACTGTTGTAGAACTTCTTAAAGAAGACGTACTGAATAATATCTTGGAAGATACCGACGCTTTAATCGTAGTCTTTATTTGTCAAAGTGTTTCTATTTTTTTTTCTTTTTTTTTTTCAAAAAGGTATCGTTGAAAATTTCTTTCGAAAAATATCTTTTTGCAATAGATTTCCGTGAATATTTGTTGCTCCTCACATTTGGAAAACGAGTATAATAATTATATTTCGAAATCTTTAAAAATACATCATCGAATTTCACGCGAAAATAATTGTCAAAAGATTGTTTAAGAAGTATTCGATATCGTAATCAGATTCTGTCTTCTTTAACCGAGCGTCTAGCCGTTGAAACGATAAAAACCGTACTTTTGGTATCTCGGGGCAAGCTAAGTACTTATCAACGGTAGGGCACACCGTAATTCGATGCTGATCGTTATGAACCTTCCAGACAGCGGCTAATATCGTTAAGCTTCACTTAGCGCCTGCATCCCTCTCAGAAGCTAAATATTTAACGTTACCAACACACGCTCCTTAATATCATATATATATATATATACTGAACGGTCTGCTCAATAGTAAAAGTGTCGAGTAGGTGACGCTACGTGAAAGACGAATCGAAAATATACAATATGAACTCTCAGTTTTCGAGAAAATTGATTTTAAATGACTTGTCTGACACGTGACATCTTTATTCTACTTACAGCACTTTAAGATCTCGGTGTAGACTGATATTTGTAATAACGTTTGTGTCCATTTTGTACCAGCAATAATTTTATAAATTACACCGAAAAAATAGATTTTCGAAATTCGCGAAGAATATAGATATTAAAAATGCTCGTTTGTGAAAAAATCTAAGTTGGAACGTGTGGATTTATCGGTCAAGTTTTTTTTAACGTCAATTTCTTTAGTAATTCTAATGTGTTATATACAATGTAACACTTTTCACTGCATCGAGACTGAAAATAATCGAGCTTAGGGAACAATAACGAAACTGTTCGATCGTTAAAATTCTAAATCTTCAACATTTCGTTGAATTTCCTCGTGTTAATTTATTCCCGCAATCAGAGGAACTTTTAATTAACCTGTGACGTATATTTCTACCGGAAAACTTGTCGTTGTTTGAAAAGTCGTGCGATGCTTCGGATGTACTCGCGCGAACGACTCGAAAGTTTTCCCGCTGGTGGATCGTGAAACGATGTAGACTACTCACGGCGAGAAATAAATCTGGCACGGCTCAACTCGATTTGCCTGGTCACGACGAATCAGTCATGCTGTACAAACGTAGATTACTGAGAGAAAAGCCATAATGCTACGACGCGCACGTAAATTCGTTAGAACTGATTTTGTACATTCGTATTCTTGGCAAGAAATATACATTATAATTTAATATTTCACGAAGAAAGGAACAAGGTAACTCAAGAACGGAGAAGGAAACGCTTTTGTTGAGATAATTACGAATTAATTTATTGATGTAATATTTTCAATGCAAAATATATTAAATAATGAAAACTTACAACGAAGATGGATGGAAGTAAATGAGTTACAAAAGAAAGATATAATGCAGAGAATTAGAGTTATTTCAATGAACAAATGAAGATACACGGATATGTATTATGTTCATATCAAACGAACAAATTCGTACTTGCATTCTTACTTAACTCGTGTTTGTTAAACCATTACACCGTTAGTGTACTAAATGAATACAAATGTTCGTTTGGTATGAATGTATCGTGACATCAAATTTGACATAAAAATTTGTCACACATCAAGAATTAAAACAAATCCTCCAAAAGTGTATTTAAAATTCATACAAAATTGCTTCAAGTCACTTTTAAATTTAACTGAATAAAAACATAAATACTCAAATATTTAAACATTTTATTTAAACATATAATCACTGAGTAAAACAAAGTAACGTCAGTCCCGATTGCACGAATTGAGTCTAGGAATGTTGAAAAAAAAACATTTAATTCTCAAAGTAAGTAAATACCACAATCTACAGAACATGGCTGTACATGGAAAATGCAATAAAAACAAGGTTGAAGCCATCAACCAGCCGGAGGAGTGACACGCGCGACCCAGAAGCCTAATCATTCGATACGTTAATACTCTTATAACGACGCCGATGGAAAGAAAAAAGACGACAGGCAAAGCCAGGGATTTATCGGATCGTCGATTTATGCGTCATCGATCACCGATCACCCTAACGCTCGAAGCTCGAATTTGGCCCGCGATTTCCCAGGCGTTCGGAATTAGTCGGCTGATTAAGCTTCTGGCCCCCTGTTTTGCAACCAGTGTCGTAATCACGAGCTTGCGTGCAGCAGCCAGCCTCCGGCCCTGGAAATTGCGAGAGCTCTAACGCGAAAGCGTCGTGGTGTCGCGTTGCCTGCGGGCGAAATCTGCGCCGCGCGTGAACAGCCTGCTGTGTACCTGTGTTGGAGTTACACGAGCGTGTTCATACGAAGTGGATACAAAAACGCGAAAAGGATTATTTTCAACGACGGACGAGCGTCAATAAATGGACGAACGCTGGCCAAGCCGATTCTTTCGAAAGTATCGACTGCTGGGAAATTAATGGCACTACTGGAGAGACCTCCGGCTGCGACTAAAAGGGAGAAAAATTGTGACGATGATGAATTCCCTCTGTTTTCATACGTTTTGGTTTTTGCTTTGCGAGAGGTTCATTCCGAGGGGTGAAAGAGCGATGAATATTTGTGTACAAAATGTAATATATTTCTATATACTGCATGGAAGAACGAAACGTTTGTTTCATGAGTTTCGTAAATTACAATAGCTCGATAGAACGATCTGTTTCGAAATATCGTTTTTTTTTTTTTTTCAGAAGTTCTTTAGAAAAATACTGAAATTTTAACAAATCACTCGCGTGACAATAATCAACGCGAGTGACGATAAAGTAATTTGCACTGAACAGTTTTGCTCACCAGTCC